CCCCCCCCCCCCCCCACCCTCAAACACTCAAGCAAAAGCGCACTTCACTGAACTGACTGTCCATTCTCTTCCCCAGAGCTCTAACGCAGACAAACTTCATGTTCATGGAACTTATGGGCCAGTGCCTTCCGCCAGCGGGCTCCATAGAAGATTTCAAGAAAAGCATAGATCCGAAAAAGTATACCCCATCCGTGTTGAGACTACGGCTACGAAACAGGAGACAGAAGGTGTTGCATGAGCCTCCTCCCCACGGAGTTCAAAGCCCGTATCCAATTAACCTGGCCCAGCCTTCAACGAAAGAGCTCGAGGCTCTCAGGAACCATAGCACTAGTTAGAGAATGAGAAGAACTAGTAACATTTTTACGAGCTTTTCTTTTTTGGGGGATTTTTTTTCGGTACAGAATGCCGGGGTGGGGCTATACACCTTTTGTGTCCATTTACGAACATGCTTTTAATTTTGTGTGGATTTTACTGAATAACATTGATTAAAGGTACAAAGAAAGCAACTTTTCAGCTTCCAAGGACTCTCAGGATATGGAAGTTACCAAAATTTGGAGGCCATTTTCTCGTTAATTGTTACCTCTGAAACCAGACGACCCTGACCTCCTTCAAAGGCAAATATTTCGACTTCTATTCAACATAGATAGATATTTTTTCCACCCAAAGGAAGGTAAATGAACAGGCTTAAAGATGATACCAACAACCCCATAATATGCTCAAAATTGACGAGCACCTGACTCCACTACGTCGTGACACACATATGTATTTCCTCTTTTCTTTCCACTGAAACATGGTTTCAGTTTTACATGCCAGGAGAGGACCAAGAGGCAAGCGAAGAGATGATTGAGGATCTCCTCGACAGTTTAATGCGCAAGAAACACTTGGAAACTGTCAGCTTGGAAGAATACAGGTCTAAGTTAATTAAAGCACGAAGTGCAGGGATGCGGTCTTACTTTCTTTTCTCAGCCTCTGTCATTGCCTTGTGGTAATAATATAATAAAATAATATATAACATTTATAGAGCGCATTTCCAAAAAAAGGTAGCTCAATGCGCTTTACATTGGAATACCCATTTT